AATCAGTTTTTATGGGGAGGTTCGAGAGGGTTAGGGCGAACCCCCTATCATATTAATGTTAAAAAGTTATGCTTATATAGTTTTAGCGCAGCTGCTCATGGTATTTAACGTTTTGGAAGATTGTGGATTTTTTTAACAGCCATGCAATTATTTAAACTATATTTCTTGAAAAATTACTTCCAGATTTAATCTCATACCACCTATTATTTACATTAGCATGCTCTGCATTATGATTGTGTTTCGCACAAATTAGAACCCCCTTTCAAACATTCTGCGTACGGGCCCGACATTACTTTATTATATAGTTTAAACATTAATTTTCGAATAAATTAAAATTACCAGCTGCCTTGGGAGAGTCTATGAATTACATATATCCTATTGAATTCGCACAGACATTCATTGGTTGTAAATATGAAACTCCCAACAGACCTCTTATTTATAATTATATTTTTAAAATGATGTTGACCTTAATAATATAGATAACTGACATTGTTAGTATATTAATAAAAATGTCTGTCAGATTCTGTTTATAATTATATTATAACTTGTAACTTAAAAAGTGTTTAATATTTAACTTACAAAACGCTCTTTATACAGGATAGTAACATAGATTTCTAAAGTCAGCAAAAATTAATAGGAAAACCAATTTACATCAATTTAATAAAGTATATTTTATCACATATTATCTACTCAGATTATTTTAGAGATAAAATTCTTGATTTTGAAAGAAGAGGTTAACTATAGATTAAAGAAGAGGTTAACTATAGATTAAAGAAGAGGTTAACTATAGATTAAAGAAGAGGTTAACTATAGATTAAAGAAGATTAGCTTAAATAATTATCCTTTCGATTTATTTCCTATGAATTAACACATATGTAACGTAGAATGTATTTTTATTTTTACAATATATATTATCTTAGATTTTACTAAATAAGTAATTCACTGGTATTCTGAACCTTAGACATATTGAAAGTTAAAGAATATTATACGATTATTCTAAGCACTGAATAAAATTTTAATATTTCTAAAGCAATTTTATGTTATCCAGTAACAAACCACAAATTTTCGAAGACTCGTATTATTATTCATTTATGTTATAGACATCTAATTTAAGTTTACACATAAATATATATCATTTTCTTGGATTGTAAGGCATGTCCAGGAATATACCGTTTATTTATATTTATCAAAACATACTACACACATTTCAGGTAAGTTCATAAGCGACTTTGATTTCTTTGATTTGAAGACGCCTTCTGGTGGATCAATTTTTACTCATATTGACAAATGCTATCTGACTGCTGCCTCGCATCTTGACCTGCTGACGTCATTGTCTGTTATGTAGGTTAAATTAAATTAAACTCGACAGAATTAACTTTAGAAATCTTTGGCAAACGGAGCACGACAAAAGTGAAGACAAGAAGCTGTCATCACTCAAATCTGAACTAAATCGTAAATTTTCAATAGTGCGTAAACGAAATGTCGGTATGTCATAGAAGGATATAGGAAAAACTATAATATTACCCCTGGGATTCTTACGCATATCGATTATACCAACATTTTCAAATAATCAGGACATGCAGACAGAAGAGAACTTCGTTCATGATGACTTATTTTTCTTGGTACAGTCGAGGACACGCTGTTCTTTAGGCATGCAACGGTTTTCTCTTTAAAGGCCTATATTAATTACGCTATACAGGCGGAGTAAAGAAATATACAGACTAAGTGCACAATGTTTTCATGATTAGAGTTGGATTCATGTTGCCTAATTTTGAAATTACTAGTCTTTGTACATGTTTCAGCATTGAAAGAAATGCAATAATCGTCGACTTGGTGAAACATGATTTTAGAGCATCTAATGTATTTATGAAAGAGCATGTAAAAGTCAAATTAATATTTAAATGTATGTAATTTAACAAGTGTAAAGCACTTCAAAAAATATAATTCCTGCTTCTACTAAAAGTAGTTAATGCTACGGTTTGTAGTGCTTTCTAGTTATGTAGTTTAGATATAAAGTTATATGCTTATTGTCTTCGATGACGAGGAACCCACTTTGAGACTAATAATGGCTGGAGACGGCTTGAATGGGTAATGAGGAAAAACTTTAATATAAGTTTAACATAACAGCAAATGTACAACGTTTCGACAAGGTTTTATCATCATCAGGTACGGTACACATCAGGTACTGATGATGACAAAACCTTGTCGAAACGTTGTACATTTGCTGTTATGTTAAACTTATATTAAAGTTTTTCCTCATTACCCATTCAAGCCGTCTCCAGCCATTATTAGTCTCAAAGTGGGTTCCTCGTCATCGAAGACAATAAGCATATAATGGCTGGAGACGGCTTGAATGGGTAATGAGGAAAAACTTTAATATAAGTTTAACATAACAGCAAATGTACAACGTTTCGACAAGGTTTTGTCATCATCAGTCCCTGATGTGTCCCGTCCCTGATGATGATAAAACCTTGTCGAAACGTTGTACATTTGCTGTTATGTTAAACTTATATT